GCCCAAGGCTATGGCGACTTGATGGGCAAGAAGGCCAAAGCCATCCTGAGCCGGGCGAAGGGCGGCCTGGGGAAGCGCACGCCGGGCGTCTTCAAGATCGCAGCTTGGCAGCGCGAGTCGCGGGGCGTCAGCGAGTCTTTGGAAGGGTCCGTTCCGTGGCTTCTGAGCTCTGAGGTCTTCCTGCGACACGGGGAGAGTGACTGGAATGTCGCTCGGAGAAGCAGAAGAGGAAGGGATGATGGCAGTAGCGAGTTGAGAAACTTCAGAGCCTTCAGCTTCAAAAGCGAGCTTGGAAAACCTCTCTGCTTCCGAGGTGAAGAACATCTTCACGGGCTGGGCGGACGTGGACCTCAGCGAGCGCGGCCGCTGCGAGGCCGAGGGCTCTCGAGCCGGGAGCGACCCAGAAAAAGAGAGAGGAGAGGACGGAGAGGAGACGAGGAGACGAGGAGACGAAGAAAAGAGGGAAAAACGAGACAAACCGCCCAGCGGGCGGAAGACATTTGGGAGAGACGAAGAGCTCAGGCTGTGGAAGCGGGGCGGATGCTGCTGGACGAGGGCTTCCGCTTCGACATCGTCTTTACGCCGGACGCCCCACGCAACCCCCAAACAGAGAAACAAACAAAAAGAGCCCCCCGTGGGGGGGCGCGCCCTCTGCTCGTCTCTCTTGTTCGCTCTCAGGTCGGTGCTTCGCCGGGGCCCCGTGAGACCGCAGAGCGCAGCGGAAGCCCGGAGCGGGAAGCCCGGAGCGGGAAGCTCTCTGTGCCACTCTGCCAGGCCGAGCAGTGCGCACGGCCTGGACGGCCCTTGCGGAGTCGGGGAACTTCGCCATGCCCGTCATCAACTCCTGGAGGAGAGGGAGAGCGAGAGAGACGAGACGAGAAGAAGAGCCTCCCCCATGCTCTCTCTCTCTCCCTCTCTCTCTCTCTCTTTTCAGCTAGGCTGAATGAGCGGCACTATGGTGGCTTGCAGGGCTTGAACAAGGCTCAACAAACAACGAGATCACAGCCTTTCTTGCTGCGCAAGTGCCCCGAGTTGTGCTAGGCAGAGACCGCGGCCAAGCATGGCGAGAAGCAGGCTCCACAGGGCTCGTCTGGGAGCTCTGCTCTTGGCCCGCTCGCAGGTGAAGATCTGGCGGAGGAGCTACGACATCCCGCCGCCGGCCATCAGTGCCTCAGACCCGCGACATCCCTCCAACGACCCGATGTACCGCAACGCGGGTCCCTCAAAAAGAGAGCGAGCGCCCGGCGGCGCCTCCGTCCACGGCGCCTCCGTCCCGCGAGCGCCTCGCAGCGCCCGAGGTTCCCAAGACAGCCCTGCCGGGAGCGGAGTCCTTGGCGATGACCGTGGACCGGGTGAGGCTCTCAGGCAGCAGATGCCAGCATGGGGCCTATCATGACTGCGCGGACTTGAGGTGATGCCTTTTTGGAACGACACCATCGCGCCTTGCGTTCGCTTCCCTGGCATGAGGCAAGTGGCCACTTGACATCTCGTTGCTGCAGGTCATGGCTGGGAAGAATGTCCTCGTTGCAGCTCATGGAAATTCCTTGAGGGCGATCTGCAAATACTTGGAGGCCTTTCCAGCCTTAAACAATTATGAAAGCTCGCGTTGCGACATCAGCTCTTGGCCTGTTCGACCTGCTCCAAAAATCACGGCCCGAAAATCCTACCCCACCCCACGCACCATGTTTTGGTGTTGTGTTGCATGAGTGTTGCTTGAGTGTGCGGTCATGAAGGCTTTCTGCTCGAAAATCGCCTCTTTGCCCACCGGCCTAACGCATGCCCAGAAGGCACTACCAGAAGAAACTTCGGACAGGGCTTTCTACTTCCAAAACTTCCGAGAAATGCAGTGTGAGTAGTGACAGTTAGTTCCATGTGCTTCCCGTATGTTGATTCTAGAAAAGTTCTGAATGACATCAATTAGCAGCGTGTGCAATACATGGACCGAGACTGTTGTGTCAAGTGCAAGACGATTTAATCCTGCATGGCACGCCCAGAACGGTTCAAGAATCTACTGTATGTTCACTCGCATTGTCTTGGGGTTGGCTTGCATCCACAAGCTAGACACTGGAGTGATCAGCAAACACTCGCAAGGAGCGCGCGAAGTTCTGGATAAGTGTAGCTTCTTATAAGTCTTCAAGTACGTATAGTAGTATAGTATGTGTGACAAAAAGACCGTTGGCTTTCTTTCCAGCTTTACACATTTGCCGCATTCTGCAAGAGACGGCTCAATTGCAGCGTGAACACCCCCACGACCCAGAAGAAGTTGCTTGGCCAGACCACAAAGTGGTTTGTCGCCGCACTAGATGAGACTGGATCTCATGGTATCCGAGACAGTATTGCTTATGTCAGCTGTGTGATCACCAGGTGTTTGTGCGAGTAAGCTGAACCAATTCTGACTGTTGTAGTATGTCGTGATGTCACATTTCGTCGGCAGCGAGACCGAAACGACACACGATGCCAAACCATCTTGACCATTCTGTCAAGTACCGGCCCGTCATGGTGGGTAGGAGAGGCAGAGAAAACGGAGGATCAGGGAGGAAGAGGGAGTAGAGGACAGGATTGACAGGAGGGCGCAGAAGGCTAGGAGAGCAAAGGGAGGGGCGGGTGAGGGTGGACAACAAGGTGTGTGTAGTGTGTGTGTGTGTGTGTGCGTGCCCGCAGGGGATGAAAGAAACAGATGCCGGCTTCCCAGATGAACGGGCCTAGTTTTTTCATAGCTCAAGATCAGACTGAGGTAATGGACTTCAACATTCCCACGGGTGTTCCGCTTGTCTACGAGTTGGACGCGAACCTGCGAGTCATGCAAAAGTGCCCCGTTCCTGTGTAGCCGCCCGACAGCCATCCCGAGATGTTGGGAGCACTGTCAGTGTTTGGCACAAACCAGGCATGGCCGAAGACGATTTTTTGAAGATAGGTACTACCTCTTAGATGATGCTGCGGTGAAGGCCAAGATCGAGGGAGTAGCGAATCAGGGCAAGGCGGGCTGACCTGACATGGGCATAGGGCCGGTTTATTGAATCAAATCCCGGCCTCAGGCAAAGTGATCCGACTTAGAGTCAGGTGGACTGCGCAGTCCGACACTCATAGCGGACCACAATACGGATGTTGCAGCCAGGCCCTACAGTCCAAAGGGACCGGGGGGGCACGTTTCACCCAACACGTGGAGTTAGATCTTGGCTTGCGGCTCTCGCCTTTTTAGAAGGGAGAGTCCCTGGGCGCCGTCGGCTTCGCTTCGACAAGCCGCTATTGTCGAGTCCTCTTCATCGCTCGTCGATCGCATTTCACTGCAGCTCGCATGGAAGCCCAGCCAAAAGAAGGACAGCCGGCGAGTTCTGCAGCTTCCATGACCATTCGAGAAGGGTGAGGGTCAGGGCGTATCTATGTAATCTATTGGATCAGTACATGATTCAGCAAATGCGCTTCAGAAATGGTGCCCGCTTCAGTAACTGCGCTTCAGCAACTGCCGCGCGGTTCAGCAACTGTGCTTGCCGCGGTTCAGCAACTGCGCTTCAGCAA